AAGGAGATAGCTGGAGGAGGCTGGGAGGAAACAGGAAGTACAGGAGGAGGGGATGGGCGGGGTAAGTGTTTGAGGGGGAATGACAGGAGGAGAGAATGGGAGGAGGAGGGTGGAGGATAAGGAGGAGACAGGAGGAGGACGGTTGGAGTAGTTGACACAGAGAGCATGGTAAAAGGAGCTGGACCACAGCAGGGTTAGCCGGTGGGGGAACAGTGACACAGAAAGCTGGGTGAAATGTCGCGTTCACAGGGCAGTGTGAACGGGTGACCCAGTGACAAGGCCTCACCACATGTCAATGGGTGTGGAGTATTCTGTCGAGCCCAGGAGAACGTCTGGGGGGCGATACCACAGCGTCACCACCTCATTGGAGTAAGTCTTTGTGGGAACAGACTTAGCTCGAGCCAATCCTGGAGAAGAAAAGGAATATGTTCAGACCGTGGATCACACAGACAGAGAAATACGCACAATATGACAGAAGATCTTCAGGCAGCACCTTCCAAACACTCGACCACTGCCATCTAGAAGGACAATGGCAATGGCAGCAGATACATAGGAACACAACCATCTGCAAGTTCCCCTCCGTGCCACTCACCATCCTGACTTGGAAATATATGGCTGTTCTTTCACTGTCGCTGGGTCAAAATCCTGGAATTCCCGCCCTAAGGGCATTGTGGGTCATGACGGTGGTTCAAGAAGGCAGTTCACCACCACCTTCTCAAAGGGAGGGGGGGCAACTAGGGACGGGCAACGAATATTGGCTCAGTCAGCAAAGCCCATGTCCCACAATAAAACCTTAGGACAAGCGAGATTCTGGAAGCTAAGGGGTGACTAGCTGTCACCTGGGACAACAAATCTGGAAATTGAGAGGTCCCATTTGACCAAAGTGTGGCCCCTGACAAAGCAGCACTCATGAAAACAGTCAGGTCACTTTTATATCTTAAACTGGAACAGTAACTATTGGAGAGATGAAGTTGGCTTCTGTTAAATTCACTGAGATCGAGGTGGGAGGGATACCTCTTGCTGTTCAGCATTCTGTCTCAGCCCATGATCCTCACCTCAGGGAAACCAGAGATACTTTTCTTTGAGACAGGTCAGATTGTCTTCTTCCTGCACATTTTAGAAGTCTTGTCCAGGACACCACATCAACTCCTGAGCTATACACGCTGGACAAAGGCTCACAGAACAGCTGTTTTACAGAGGATTTTCACCACATTGGCCAGACATAGCAAGAACACAGTAAGAGTTCACAACCTGCCACAGGGACACAAATCCCAACCAGCAGCTCCAGCTCAGCATCATCACACTGCGCACGCACGCTCACACACACACACACGCACACACGCGCGCTCTTGCTCACGCATGCTCTTGCCCACGCGCACACACACACACTCTCTCGCACACGCGCGCACACGCACATACGCTCTCGCTCGCACGCACGCGCGCGCGCACACACACACGCTCTCGCTCGCATACAAACGCTCTCGCCCTCACTCGCACACGTACGCTCTCGCTCACACACAAGCGCTCGCTCGCACACACACACACACACTCGCGCTCACACACGCTCTCGCTCACGCACAAACACATACGCACACACACACGCACTCTCGCTCACGCACACAGACACGCTCTCACACAGACACACACACACAGACACACACGCTCTCGCTCACACACACACACACGCTCTCGCTCACACA